TTTTAAAAATGAAAACAATAAAAATCTACTGAAAAATCTAAGAAATTCAGCACAAGTTCAAAAAAATAGCCATCCTACAACTTTTGTACAAAGATAATTCTTCTCCTGTGGCACAAATGCAAAAATATTTTCTAACTAAAAAGGCAGATGAATTTCAATACACAAGTTCTCCAACAAGAATTCCCTACTCCACTCAGTATGGCTGACTGGATGAACAAGGACCTTCTGCAAGTTGGCCAAGATTTGCACTGCTTAAATTACATGAAATGTAACTTTTCATCCATATGCAAGCTTCTGATGGATTATTTCTCTGCAAATACAGCTGCCTCTGACATCTCTGGTTTCTGTTCATTGCCATAATATCACATGACAAGTAGTAACAATTCAAAATTCTTAACCATTTAAAATGTTTTGCAAACACTGACTGGCAAGGTTTCTCAAGCACTCATCTTTCCATCAGCATAACTTTTAACAACTTTTAAAAAAATTAATACTTGCCATTTTTGGCAAATATGCTGTTTTTTTACTAAAGATCTATTTAATAAAATTAATTAACAAAAAATATTTATGAAATAGGTGAACAACTCTGCCTGCCAGGGATGCACCATTACTGGAGTCTTTTTTCCTGATAGTCACAGGACACGTAGTGCTAACATGTAGTGTCACAGAGTAATGTCACACAGTGAAATGCTGTATAATACAGAATAGAGTAGGAATTCATGATAGTAGATAGTTTCATTCAGCAGTAGACAATATGGGTAAAATGTTTTGTGATGCTTCTTTTGAAGCTGACAGCCTGAGGAGGCTATATTATATACCAGTTATCCTTTTTACAGCATTGCTGGCTTTTTGTTACTGGTTACTTAGCTTACAGTAACTTTTGTTCCTCAAGATGTGTTGTCCACACAATTCCACTCTTGGTGCATATGTGCCCCATGTGCATGAGATCAGATTCTTTTGGCCAGCAGAATCTGCTGGGGCCATGCCTGCATCTTAGGCATCATAGAGTTTAAGGCCAGAAGTGACCACCAGATCATCTAGTCTGACCTCTTGTCCTCGCCCACCCACTACCTGAAAGCATAAAGGGTGGAGTGAATCCAAACATCCCTCAGTTCCTTTACCAACAAAGAATCCTGGAGGAGTAGAATGCCAAAGGAGCAAGGAAGGAGGGCAGGTTGTGCAATCCATGTGGGCAACACATCTCAAAAAACCACAATTACTTCAGGGTATGCAACCGTTCTTTCTTCTTCAAGTGAGCGTCTAGCAATGTTGGTGACTAACAAGCAGTTGTCTGTTTGCTTGAAGATGGGTTGTAGGTGTCCTCCTCAAACAATGACAGCAGGACAGCCCTACCGAAACAGGGATCTGAACTGGAAGACTCTACCAAAGAATAGTGTCTTGTAAAGGTGTGGACTGAGCTCCACATATCTGGTCTGTTTGCTACTCAAAGGTTGGACTATACAGCCACAAGAACACATGTGATGCTGTGATATCATCATCACATACAATGGACAATCTGTAGTTGGTAGGAATATGAGTACTGAGGGGGGTATCAGGAGGGATGTTCCCAATGAGTCCTAGATCTTTTCCTGATACCTCTTATGGAATTTCCCCTTCAGTCTCTTCCTGATTCTATTGTGCCACCCAAGGAGGGGGAGGTGAATGGAAGATGACTCCCTGATGTTTCTAGATGGGGATGAGGAGCAGTAAATGTCATCTAAGGGATGGGCCATTCTATCTGTCTTGTCTCTGGGGGAGGGAGAGGTTGGTGTGATGAACTGATATACGTTTGTACATGTCTGTATCAAACTGTGACTTTCCTTGACACCACCATTTTGAAGAACTTGCATTTGACTTGCATTTTGAGTGTGTAGCTGTGATTGCCTAGAGATTGCAAGGATAGACCAAGGCAACTTATTTTAATGCCAGTCACCTCCATGAAGTGACTAACACAAGAGGGGGTCACAATACTGGTTTAAGGGTCTAGGGCAGCTGGATTGCAGAGTCCTACATCCCAAGGGGCCACACAGGAGGTCTGCACCTGGAAGTGTGACTGGATACTGCCCAGATCCAACTGGCTTGGAGGCATGTGGTCCAAAGGTCAGGTCCAATTAAAACAGACTGATGACTGTCCACTAGGGGTACAGAGGTGGTAGGTACCAAGGCACTTTGTACCAAAGCTGAAACCTATTGAAGAAAAGATTAGATTTTTCCCCCAATGGGCAACATCTAACTATAACAATAAATTAACTAACAATCACATAAAGAGTAAGATTACTAACTAATGTCAGTAGCACAGTGCACATAGAAAAAGGGGAACTCTTCAGGAGTTCAGTCTCACTGGCATGATCAATAAGAGAAACTGAGGGTCAGTAGGGCCCATTCCACCCTTATTGCCCTTGGGTGGGGATGCACAAGGACAGCTAGGGTACAGGCACAGCCTGAACAGACACTACTGGCCAAAAGAATCAGGATGCATGACACAAAATATCAAAGAGTTGAATCCATGTGGACAATTACATGAAGAAGAACTAAAAATTAGGAACGCTACAATTACACATTCAGAGAATGAAAAATATTCACAAAGTTCATTTTTCAGTTGAACAAAAATGTGATGTCACAACAAAGCAATTGTTCATAATTTACCTCATTAATGATCTGATCCTACAAGGTGCTAAGTACCCATATCCACTGACATCAATGCTTTGTATTTTCTAGAATCAGCTCCTTGAGTAGGATTTCATGCCATAGAGCAACACTCAGCTTTTTCCTCCTACATTGCTTTCCCATCATAATAAATACCTTATAGATTAAATCTTACTGTGATAGTATGTGTTAAAGATGGCAGCGTAAGTCTTCTGAACAATCTGAGAGTATAAGCACTTGTCTACATGTCACAGCAAAGCGCATTCGAGGAGTAATTTGTAAGGTGCTCTAATGTGCTGTGCTGTAGCAGCCCTTTATAGACCCAGCTAGTGCAAACTATAAGGTATCTAGTTTGCCTTAATGTATATGACAAAACACATAAGAGAGAGTTAACAAAAGAATTACTCAACCAGCAAAAATAAGACAACCTGTCTTCCTCAGCATTTTAAAACACAAATTATCAATCTGCATAATTAAGGAAAATTAAAAACATAAAATAAGGATTGGGTCTCAAAGGACGACTAATTAATAATATATCAAACTCAAAGCTACTCTGTTCTGCCAAGTTTTGCCACTGACTCACTTATCTTGGGCAAGCTACTCCATCTCTTTATGCTGCAGGTCCCCAACCTATGAAGTGGGGTCAATAATAATTACTAGTGTTGTGAGAATTAATATAATGTATGCAACAAACTGGACAAAAGAGGCTATAAAAGTTGTATTATTTAGTGTTTCCGCAACATTTGGCATGAAATTATCTAGATACCATGTTCATTACACCTAAAAAAATTATGACATTTACAGCTGCAAACATCAAAATAAATAATGTTATTTAAGATATTTTTGTAATTATATTTTACACTGTATTTATTCTTGGCATACAAGCTCTTGTTTCAGAGATGAAGCATTTTAAATGCAGGAATGTTTTGTGCCCTTTTCTCTGCAATGTACTCAGAATTAAGAAACTGATGGTTTAACTGGGGAGGCCAGGTCAGTGGTGTGTAAACCACTTTAGTTATGACATCATTGCTTCTGCTCCTAGGAAATGTGGCAAAAATGCTCAGCACTTAAAAAGCTACAACAGGAACACAATTACATTATAAAATAACCTTTCAAAATACATATAAATACGTTATGCTTTATGTTTATGCACTGAAACATGAAACATTTTGGGGTTTAGTTCTCCTTTAATTTGGAAACTAGAATAAAACTCTCCAAAATACAGATATGTCCTTTGCTTAGATAGATATTCATGCTGATGGGGGTAGGTTGGCTATCTACTAGCCACTAAAACAGACATAAACCAAACCAATGAGCATCAGTCAGCAACAGAGCCCACTCTCAGAGTTTTACTTTTCCCCCTTAAAAAAGAAAAGAAGAAAGATTTAGTTCTTCTTTATACATAACCTTTTTTGGGGGGGAGGGTCAAATTTCTTGATTTTAAGTGACCACTGTGGGAGGCGCATCTCCTTTTGTTAGCAGTTGTCTAACCTAAGCTCCATGTAAGAAGAATCTATCTTGGTTTTACCCCCAAGGAAGTAAATATTTCTTTGTTTAGCATCTTTCAGTGGAAAGGGTAACTTGAAGAGATTTACAAGATGTTTCCGAGACATTAAGTAATGTCAAATGAGGAAAAGTGAAAAAGCCAGAAGCTAAATTAAGCAAAGTGACAGGAAAGAGCTGAGGATGAGCCCCAGTGTCATGTCTTGCATTAGCAGACTTCTGACTCCAGTGTAAAACAAAACACATCTGAAAAATAGACTAACATACCATGGACTCCGGAAATCAGCAGTCTCAAATCTATGTTTTTGAAGAGACTGCTCATGTGAGTAAAGCCACTCAAGCATAATTGTTTGCAGGATCAGATCCTAAAAAATGGAATGCACTCAATAATTTTACTGCTTAGACTTGTGATTTTGCTTCATTTTCATTTGGCTACAAAGATTATATTTACTTTTGAGTACTTCTGTACCCAAATAGTAGACAATGAAACGTGACATGAAACATGAACTGCAGTTCCTTCAATAAAGTGGAGAGACTTGGCAAATAAGACTTGTATACAAAATGAAGATCACATTTATTATGCTATGAAAATGTGACGAAGGATAAACACACTATGTATTTTATTTCACTCTGCCTGTCCACAAGATATATAAGATAAGAATTAATTAAATAAAAGGTGTTTTACTCCTTAATCCATTCATTGTCTATTAACAAAAGGAATACGACTTAGTCGTCAGACCAATACTAAGAGCTGTAATTCTCAAATTACAAAATATTTCAGATGAGAACTGAAGTTCACATATGTAAACTATTTGCAAAGGTGCCTTAAATTCTTAAGATTAAGCTTTTACCTTTCTTTAATGAATGTAATGCTGATGTGAAGAATGTCAAATAACCAGGAGGCTGAGGTGAAGCATTGAACTCAAAATATCCTAGAACTCCAGGCTGCAAGAATAAGAATTAGAGTTAGCTAAGCTATTACAAAAGTACACATTTATGGGACACTTTAACTATAGTAAAAAACATAACAGATTAAACATTGATGGGTTGTTTTGGTTTTGTTGTTTTTTTTTAGAAAAAACAAACTAGCCATTTTACTCTGCAGGAAAAGTGGATCTTAAAAGGAGGGGAAAAAATCAGCCAATACTATAATTTGGAAAATGTGCACAAGACCAAATCTGTATATATGTAGATACATTATAATTTCACAGTTACATATTTCCCGTGTTAGTTGTTACATTATTCTCTAAGCAAATGGTAATAATTTAAAATAATTGCAGGAGTCAAGCTTCAGCACCACCATGTTGATGGAATACTTGATTTTCTACATAGCACCATACTGGGTTCTTTTGAAATTGAGATTTGGGATTTAATGTGTCATTGTACAATGAAGTCAACTGTAACCCTTTTTCAACGTAAAATACTTGGCTTTCTTTAAGTTTTTATTATACTGTGCATGATTCACATCTATATATGAAGCCTCTGCATGACTGCCAGTCTACATCACACTGGGAAGCTATCAGTCATATGAGATTCTTGCAAGAGAAATCACTGAGAGACTGATTTCACAAAAACAAAGGGGAGAAACCCAGATCCTATTTGCATTTCCACAAAAAGAAAATATATTATCTTGTTGGCTTGGGCAACCAGGTAATTTGAGATTTAAAGGATCTGTGATCTCTAGGAAGAGATACAAAATTTTTGTCCATCGAGACTGGGTTGAGGGTGGGGAGAATACTGGTCAAAATAGACAGAAACTACAGATCCCATTCCCTTTGCTGGAGATATGAAGCTTAAATGATAGCTTAATAAAAATAGATTAAGAACAGGTGTGCAAGAAGTAAGCTCAGATTTCTCTGGTTTCTGCCATCCAAAATTAAAGATAAACCCTGAATTTTACTGAGATGGATATACAATTATTTTAAAAAATTACTTAGGGATATTTTACATTAATGAGACTTGAACTGGTTTGTAGACTTTCAAGATGTGATAATACTGTAGGAGTACAACAGTGATTCTTAGAACTTAGATACTTGAGTAGACAGATCAGAATGTAAGACAGCCTTCCTTGAACCATTTATATTTGCATTTGCAGATAAAACAAGTAATTCATCACACACTCAACTTGCACTGATCAGGAGGCATTTTCCTAGAGCTGGAGCTCAGGTGTCGGACTCTTATTCACACTTCATTTTCTTGATAACTGCACTGCTATCTGGACAAAGAGCTAAAAAAGGGGCTTAAAAGCTACCTTTTAAAAATGAACACTAAATGCAACTTGTTAACATTAACGTGAAATACTGAATTTTATTTGTGGTAAGTGTGGATGGTTATCCTTCCACTGTTCCTTTCACTGTCCTATGATGAAAGACGATTTCTCTGGATTCACTTTTCCTAGTGAAATAAATTTTAAGTGAAAAAGATCAGGTGTCACATTTCAAATTCTGCCTTAAAGTACAGCTGAAAATGAGTTCAGTAATCTTGTCCAAGTCCCAAATACACAGACGTTTGTCCAAATCACACATTCTCTCTCTCTCTCACACGCATACAACTCCACACTCGACAACCTGGCATGCCTGACAGTCTCTACTCAAATAAGGCCCATGACTGGAAAAGCAAACTGTGAAGAATTACAAAGGGGTCTCACAAAACTGGGTGACTGGGTAAGAAAATGGCAGATGAAATTCAATGTTGATAAATGCAAAGTAATGTACATTGGAAAACACAATCCCAATGACACATACAAAATGATGGGGTCTAAATTAGCTGTTACCACTCAACAAAGATCTTGGAGTCATTGTGGATAGTTTTCTGAAAACACCTGCTCAATGTGCAGCAGCATCCAAAAAGCTAACAATGTTAGGAACCATCAGGAAAGAGATAGATAATAAGACAGAAAATATCATAATGCCACTACATAAAATCATGGTACATGCACACCTTGAATACTGCTTGCAGTTCTGGTTGCCCCATCTCAAAAAAGATACATTTTAAGAGCCCAGCCACATATTTCAACTTACTACAATATTGCCCACCATTGCTGGAACTATGAAATGTAAGCAGTTGAGAGAAGCATCCACTGCAAGAGAAGCAACCAGTGAGATACTTCGTAAGGTGGCTTTGATTTTCTTGTTTTTGCATGATAAATATGGATTATAAAATATAATCACAGTTTTACTAAAATATATTCTACCTTTATTTTCTACATGAAGTTTGCGATCCTCCATAGCAACTGATTGTGAGATATTACCAACCAACTACATCCTCCATCAAGAGAAGAATGGTTCTGGAAAAGTACCCAGAAGCTACAGATATTCAAAGGGGCACAAAGGAGGCTTCAAAACAAAATCTTAAACTAGCTTCCAGCCTTTTTCCAGTAGTTTGAGAAAGGAAGTTACCTAGAGATATAGCTGTATCTTTAAACAAAAGAAGTCACACTGCTCCCACTTTGGGAAGAAAGATGAAGTCTGACATTCTTCTGAAGTGTGTAAAAGTTCTGGATCGCTGTCACTTCTGGGATTCAAGGACTACACACTCACTGATTCTGGGGAGGGTCAAATGAAGGGGGATACACAGCTCCTACTTAGAAGATACTGGGAAATGTTTTCTCTTAATTTTGCCTTATTTGTCTAGATTTGTTCTTCTGGTTTTTTTTGAGAGGTTGAATTACCCTGTGCTCTCAGTTCTCTTTTAGTGTGATGTAAAATGGACACTTTTCTTTGGAACTCTCTTGATTTCTCTCTCTTCTGAAACTGGCTGGTTCTGAAAGTTCCCCCACTTCTGTGAATGAGGAAGAACTGGGGGATGAGGACTGTTTCAGGGCTTCTGGATTTTTTCCAATCTGGTTTTGTCCTGCTGCTTGGACTATTTTACATCCATCTGCCCCCAGTCTCATTGGGAGAAAGAAGCGTGTCTCCATGGTCTTAGTCTTTTCTCTTCAGCACTAGAGCAGTGACAGGATCTATACCTCTGTCTGCTGAAGGATGCTTTCTTTCTCCCTTCTTGAGAAAGGGAGACAGAGTCATCAGGGATTACCTCACTTTTTCTGGCACAAGTAGAATCAAAAGATGTGTGTACACTTCGAGCTCCAGGGTCAGATTCCCATCTTGAGCAGACATACCCACACTAGCTCTGATCGAGCTAGCATGCTAAAAATAGAAGATAGCCACAGTGGTGCAAGGGGCTAGCCACCCCGAGTACTTACCATCCAAGATGCTAGGCAGGTACTCAGGGCTGCTAACCCCTCATACTGCCATAGCTACACTCTATTTTTAGCACACTGGCATGATCAGAGCTAGTGTGGATATGTCCCTTGAGCTGTCCCAGGTCCAAGTGTAGACATATGCAAAGTCACTTAGCACCACTCTGGCTGAATTTATCCTTGTTCTTAAGGCCTGAAGTAAGAACCAGGGATAGGTGGCAGTATTAGGGGGATGGAAAGAGAGAGAGCAAGCACTGTTTTGTCCATTCAGATGGAAGCTCTTAAGCACCGTCTGGGAGCACCCTCAGGAGAAGAGTGGTGCACCTTAAGGAGAGGAGTATCAGGGCTAGCCGTGTCAGTCTGTATCCGCAAAAACAACGAGGAGTCCGGTAGCACCTTAAAGACTAAGATTTATTTGGGCATACGCTTTCGTGGGTAAAAAAATCCACTTCTTCAGATGCATTGAGTGAAAATTACAGATGCAGGCATTATTATACTGACACATGAAGAAAAGGGAGTTACCTTACAAGTGGAGAACCACTTGGAGAACCAGTCATGTGTCAGTGGGTTTTTTTACCTACGAAAGCTTATGCCCAAATAAATCTGTTAGTCTTTAAGGTGCCAGCGGACTCCTCGTTGTTCTTAAGGAGAGGAACACTTTAAAGGGGAAACTTATCTTTTGGGCCCAGAATCACCAATGATAAACACTGTATGTCCTATATCAGCTAAGGCTCTTAAAAGTTAAGGAAGGAACTGTAGACTGGGGTGGGGTAGCTCCACAGAGATGAAGGCTGTCTACTTTCCTATGTGTACAGCCAGCTGAGTACTCCAGTGGGAACATCTCCCTGCTACTGACCTAGCCTGGCAGAAAGGAAAAGGAGGCAGAGTTCTGACTAATTCCTGAGGTGGATAGCTCAATTTTCCCTAGACAGACACAGGCTACGATGGAAACTGTTCCCTTACCACTGCTCTCAAGCTGGGCACTGCTGTAGCAGAGATGGGAGCCAGCTTCCTAAGCAGCTGGTGAAAAAATGACCCACTCAACTTGCACTGATCAGGAGGCATTTTCCAAGAGCTGGAGCAAAACGGGGAGCTCCTTACAGCTAGGTCTCCCTTAGATGTGGAGAGGGCAAGCGTGCTGTGCACCTTTGGGTATGTCTACACTACGGGATTAATCCGAATTTAGATAATTCGAATTTGGGAAACAGGTTGTATAAATTCGATTGTGCGCGGCCACACTAAGCACATTAATTCGGTTTTTAACCACATTAATTCGGTGGTGTGCGGCCACACTACCCCATTAATTTAAACACAGTAATTCGGTGGTGTGCGGCCACACTAACCCTAATTCGAATTAACAAAATCGATTTAGGCGCTACTCCGCTCGTCGAGGTGGAGTACAGAAATCGATTTTAAGTGCCCTTTAATTCGAATTAACTGGCTCTGTAGTGTGGACGGGTGAAGGGTTAATTCGGATTAACGCAGCTAAATCCGAATTAAAGTCGTAGTGTAGACCAGGCCTTTGTGTCTTTTGTTTACTCTTCTTAGGCCAGTTAGGCCTCTCACCTGACACTACTGAAGGGAAAAGTCTGCTGCTTAAGCACCTCAGATGGAGGACGCTGCTCCTGAATAATCTGGTTAAACAGATGAAGAACTGAGTCAGAGATTAACATTTTGTTAAACTAACTGTTAGATGCCTCTAACTCAAAAAACTCAGACAGTCTGGACCTAGAGCTTTCTTAGA